CTGACTTGAACGCGTCCAGCCCCTCCAGAAGCTCTCTAACCCGGTCCTCCCCAACCTGAGGTCTGAAGGCGATCCCCTCAAGTCCGGCTTCTATCACAGCAGGGAAGTCCCGGTCCCTGCACAAGAAAACGGAGGTGAAGATAATTCATTTTGAACATGCAAATATTATGATCTTATTCCACATACAGTGTATATGCACAGGTATCCACATAGCTAATGAGCTGATCTCTGGCTGGGAAGATACACATTTGTACCTAGATAAGTGTAAATCCCAAAATTGTAGCCTGGCAAAACTTCATGACTAGCAAGTGCTAGATGCCAGGGGAAGAGTGCCCTTCCTTTTTTAGCCCAAAAGTTAGGGCACTCACCGTAGTAGGAAACCAAGGGAGCCTCATGCAGAGGGTACTTGAGTCTATATCCCTTCTGCTTTCTAGCATGGTGCTCTAACAAACAGGCTCCAAGCTGGGCACAATCCAGGTCAGTCTCAAACTTCCTCTTGAAGCTGAGATACCATATCATGAACTCAGTATTTATTGGCTATAATGGATAAGGAATGGGGGGAAGGTTCTTCCCCTCTGGAAGGGAGGAAAGGTCCAGGCCAGAACCTAGGGAGTCCCTTTTAGGGTAGTGGTCATCTTGATGAGCCTTACACACTCTTTCTCTCGGCCCCACATGTCTTCTTTTCATAGCTCTTCAGTGGGCCAGTTTCAAGGGGAGGGCTGTACACAGCTCTGTATAGTGCTTAGCCTGTTGTCTGGGGATTAAAGCATTATGTTGTGAAGCTGAGATACCGGGGCTGGAAGAACGGGCAGGGGATGCAGCCTGTGTGATTCAGAGATTCGGTTGATTTGGCAAGAGTCAAATCTCCAAATCAGATTCAGCCGAATCAGTTCAGGACAGTGAGTCGAATCACCAAATCGAATCACTGCCCCTGAATCAGCCAAATCCAAATCCGAAGTGAATACTAGCCACTTTGTGCTGGCCTACTCAGTAGCTGTATGGATGCTTGCACGTCCACACTGCACCTGAAGTAGAATTGCTAACTATACGTAAGCGCCAACAAAAGCAGTAACATGTCTGCGTAACTGTCATTTGGGTGCACAAAGTGAAATAAGATTTTGCCTCTAAAGCATAGGGCCTCTAGACACAGAAATTTGCAACTGAATGGGAGCCTATATGAAGAACCGTAGGTCACTGAATTAAGTACAAAGAGATTCTCTCATTTTCAGATGCATACATGGAAAATACTAATTTCTGGCCTCAGACTATGGGACCATTGCATATACTGGTGATAGGAATAATTCTTTTATTGTTGACTAAAAACTGAATTTAATCACATTTTAAATAAATATTTGCCATTTAATACCATAACAAACAGATAAAGTAAAATTAATCATGGCCAAACACATGAGATTTCAGACATGTATCCCCGATATAAGACTCTTAAAGCATACCTATTCCTAACTGTCAGAGAGTGATTGGCCCTTTAATGGCACCTGAGGCCAGCATCACCTATGATGGACCAACTACCTTTCAGCTGAGACTAATGAGGAGATTATAAATACCACAAGTGGCTTACCTGGAAAAGAATTACAGGAAGCCAATGGGTTCCTATAGCATGCCTCGGAGCACAGAAAGTAGTATGAGGCCTCTGGGCCTCAATCATCTGCTTCTGTCAAGGAAATCACTTACTTTTGTTTTTGTATAAAAAACTATTCCTGAAAGGGGCCTGATTCAGACTCTGGATGTGGTGGCAGCCCTTTCTCAGCTGGTGAAGCAAGCCAGCCACCCTACATCAGCACATACCCATCATGTAAGGATATTACATGTTTGTAACGCGTCAGATTCCTAAAGAGGATTGCTGTATAGAGCTGGGACCTATCTGACAGCCTGTGAAGAGCATTTTGGGTATTGTGTAGCCAACCTGGTGAGGAGAGCTTTAAATTAGGTCTTATGCAAGTTGGCAAAGAAAAATTACTGATTTTCTAGGTGAAGAAGTCTCAGAGACATTAGCAATAATATTTGCTGTGTTTAGCCTTCAGCAAATTAGTTTTACATTACATCTCAGGGAAGACTTCCTAACTGTGTGAACTGTAAGACAATAGAACAAGCCGTCTAGGGAAGCTGTGGAATTTCTTCCTTGGAGGTTTTCAAGAAGGGTCTGGAGAGGTATTTATTATCTGTGTGAGGGGGGTTGAACTAAATGACCCTGGAGGTCCCTTCTAATCCTGTGATACTATAAGTCTATAGGTGTAACATGAGCTAACCATGACACACATGTGATTCCTTTTTAATATTATGCAGAAGAGTCACTATCAACTTATAATGTTTTTTCCAAACTCTTTCAGATCCCACCTCCAGAAGTATTTGAGGATCTAATTAACTTTTCATTCCACACCAATGTCTTTGAAAACAACATTGGCTATTTGAGATTTGATATGTTTGGAGATTGTGAACTTCTAACCCAGGTGTCTGAGCTGCTGGTGAAGCATGTTTGGAAGAAGATTGTTCACACAGATGCATTAATCATAGACATGAGGTAAATCCTGGATAGAAAGTAGTCAAGTGTCTTCTTTCTAAGTATAATTTTATTTGTTGCCATGAATTTATTTTACATGGTTAACTGTTGTCTTTGCAAACTAATAATGATAGGATGAGATGAAGAAATTTCAGGGTGAATTGCCATGGAAAACTATCAAGGGAAATGGTTCCATCATGTGGTTCATTTGAAAACAGATAGGAAAACTGGAAAATTTTCAAGAGTGAAGAGTTCTGCCCTGAAGCTATTTTCTTTCTCTGATTTCTGTATAACACTTCACTGGATATGACTATGTTTACTTACACACATTGTTTAATCATATCTTTTATTGTAGGTCAAGTGATTCAGTAGTGGGAAAGGGAATAATACTTGAATTGTGCCAAGCTATCCTGGGGGATCAGCTGTATATAGACTGGTCCATGAGTGTGGCTCACAAGTGACTTAAGCCACCTTTGCAAGCCCCACCACTCCTTTAGCTATTCTCAGTGCTCATAGGCCCTGTGGTAGCCATGGACTTACCACATACCTAAATTTAAACAAAGCTTCATTGAACTTCACAACATATGAACAACACTGTGTGCACATGTGCCAGTAGATGCTGTTCTACTTATTTGCAACAATTAACAGTGTTACACATATACAAATATATCATGTTTTTATATAGCACTTCCATAAGTGTGTTTCTTTTGCATCAGCCCAGAGCTCCTATTTGGAAGCCCACCACACTTCAGGCAAATATTTATGGAAAAACAAACCCTGTGTCAGAAATGCTTTCAAAGACTAAAGAAATGCATATATCCACTACGGTCATGAATCTTCCCATATTTGGAACTTTTCTTCAAGCCACATGATTTCCATTTTTAAAATCAATGTCTGTCTAATGTTAAAAGGATGAACAGTCTTGGCAGCAGGAACGGAGACCCATCCTAGCAAGGAGATGGCAGTGTCCCCTTCATGGGAAATACCATGGTCAGTAGGCTACAGAATCATAGATTTCATAGATTGCATAGACATTAGAGCTGGAAGGCACCTTGTAGGATCATCGGGCCCAGCACCCTGGGCAGGAAGTCAGCTAGGCTCAAAGGATCGCAGCACGATAAGCATCCAAATGTTTCTTAAAAGTGTCCAGAGCAGGTGCTTGCACCACCTCTGGGGGGAATCTATTCCAGGCCTCGGAGGCTCAGATAGTAAAAAAGTTTTTCCTTATGTGCAGCCTAAAGCGGTCTTGCAAAAGTTTGTGACTGTTAGACCTTGTCATCCCTTGGGGTGCTCTGGTGAACAAACATTCCCCCAGATCCTGATGCACACCCATTGTGTACTTATGGGCTGCCACCAAGTCATCCCTGAGCCTGTGCTTCTCCAGGCTGAAGAGTCCCATGACTTGCAGCCTCTCTTCATAAGGCTTGTTCTCTTGCCCTCTGATCATGGGTGTGGGTCTCCTCTGGACTCTTTCAAGCTTCTCCATGTCGTTCCTAATTGTGAAGCCCAGAATTGGACACAGTACTTCATCTGCAGCCTCACCAAACTGAGTACAGCAGCAGGATGACATTCTGGGTCTTGCTCAAAATGTATCAGTAGATGCAAGCCACAGTTTTGTTCACTTTGCTGGCTGCGGTATTGCATTGGTGGCTCATGTTCATCTTGTGATCAATCATGACCCCCAAGTCTCTGTCGGTTGTGGTGCTAGTGAGTGTAGCATTGCTGAGCCTATAAGTGTGATGTGAGTTTCCCCCCCGCCCTGAGGTGGAGCACCTTGCATTTCTCTATATTGAATGCCATTAGGTTTTCATCTGCCCACCTTCCAAGCCTTTCGAGGTTGACCTGGATCACCAGCCTATCCTCAAGTGTGGATACTCTTCCCCAGCAAACTTGGCCAGTCCACTTCTGACACATGAGAAGACTGACAATCAGGCTCCTTCTTGCCAGCTCCGTGAATTGTTTATACATTAGACAGTCATTGATAAAAAATATGACTAACCCTGGCAGCAAGGGATAGAATCCACAGCTCCACACTCCTAGGGGAGTGGCCTCATCACTTGGTCATACAGTCAGGCTCTCTCTTGCTCACACTCCCTCCGATCCCATGAATCTTGTGCTCTGATCAACCTACCCTCAGCTTCAACCTACCCTCCCACACAGACTCTTCCTATAACCTGTATGCTCCTGCAAAGTGGGAAATGTGGGCATAAGTCCCGTGTGAGTGAGATGGACCTATAATCCCAGTTTACCATTTCCTGGGCCTGAACTATCACCACTAAGCTATCAGGCAAAAAGCGAACTCTTCCTCCTCCTTGCCCTATACAAGAGTGAAAGTGAGGTGCTGGTGTTTTATCCTAAACTCAGGGCTTCTGTCAATGAGGTGCTGGTTCAGGTAGTTATCACAGCTGAGCAATGCAGATCCCAACTGACTGAAATGCCTCCTTTGCAGCTGCAAGTCAAACACTTGAGCTCTGAGGCAAAGCAGGAGTCCAGAATCACCTCTGTGTCTAGCATTTCTATTGGCTAGCCATAGGCTCCCCTCCTCTAAACAACTAGGTAATCCAGATTAGCCTTAGGAGGTTGTGACAGATGGGGGGCCATCAGGCACCTGATGAGATTGATGTCTCCCCCTGCCGCCCCATTCTAGGGCAGTCTGCCCTGCACTTGCCTGCCATGCTTCTGATGTAAAAATGAATTGATGTAAAAGTGGAGGAGGCTGCCCCATTTGCAGCCCTGGTGTTCTGGGCCAATTACACAGCTCCGAACCATCCCTCCACCATGTCCCATGCCTCGCAGATGGCATCCAATTCTCCTTACTAATCTCCCGGCGTCTTATCGGGCTGCACTTGGCCTCTAGACCACATAGGCCTCAGGTCCCTCTTGGTGGACATCGGCCCCTCACTGGACCATTCCCCTAGCCCCTTACTGGGCCACACATTCAGACTCTGGGCCTTTCACCCCTTGGGTCTCAGGTCTCACTCAATGGACCTTGGCCCCAAGCCTTTTCCCTCTACAGGGTGACCTATAAGGCAGAGGGGGCTGAAAGTTTCTAGCACCCCTTCCTCACCTTTCACTGGGGAGGTACAGATGTAGCATTTCCTGGGCACTGCTCCACCATAGACAGTCCTACCACACCAACCAACCCCAGCAGAGTGCAGTTTCAGGTCTTACCCAGGACCAGAAGGAACCTCCTCCATCCCCATAGTTCCTACCCTAACCTCCAGGTGTTCCAAAAGCTTCAGGCTCAGGGATGTTGCTCCTCCAGCTCCCCGAATGTAACTACCAGCACTGCTCCCGGGGTCTGGGCTTATATACTCCCTGCCCAGCCCTTCTTCAATCAGGTGGCCACCTGCAGTCAGGTGACTGCCTAATTGGGCCTGAACCCACCTGCTGGCTGCTCCATAGCCTGTCTGATGTTCTTAAAGTGACAGGTACAATCTGTGCACTGCCACAGAGGCACACAAGTCTTTCCATTCACACTAGGCTCCTTACCCTGTTCATAAGATCCTAACCCTCAAGGTTGCAAAGAAATGCTTAAATATGTGAACAAAGTGCTCCTTGGAGGTCCAAGTTTAAAAGCAGATGGAAACATCCTAACTTTTATTAGATCTCTTTAATGTCTATTAAGTCTCTTTAAGCCAAGCTCATGATTTTGAGATGCAACTCATGACTTCAGAATGTTTGGGGCTAGTAATACAGCCATCACCTATATGAAATGCTTCTTTGGTCTCTGCTATTTGAGTACCTCATAATTTTAATGTACTATATTTACTCGTATACCGCTCAGACCTTCCCCACAAAATTAGCCATCCAAAATTGGAGTGCATATTTTAAGTGAGAAACTAATTTCCACACCAGAATAGATGTGTGGGGAGTCTAGAATGGCTGCCAGGTGTTATGCCAGATCTGGGGGTTATCCAGGCTCAGAAGAGGAAAACAAAATCTGAGGGATTGTGCAGAGTCCAAATGGAGGGGAACCAGGAAGCCAGAAACCAGAAGATCTGCCTGGGGACCTGATTCAGAGATCCAGAGGGTTGGACAGAGTGCAGAGGCAGGGAGCCAGCTGGGTCAGGTACCCAGGAGATCAAACCATATTTGGGTTAGTGAGCCAAAGATCAGGCCAAACTCAGGTTCCATGGGCAAGCTGGGTCAAGTTGCCAGAGAATTGATCTGAGCCAGTAGACACACAAGCTAAAGGTGTGGCAAGCTGAATACAAGATTGAACCTTGTTGCCCAGACACTTTCTCTTCCAGGTCAAGAGTTTTTATAGGAAGAGGCAAAGGGTCAGCTGAATCTGGCTGGCCATTCTGGTTGCAGGGAGTGGGCAGGTGGCTAGGTTTAGATATCAGGTTCTGATCACCTATGTCTACCCCAATGCTCAGCTGAGGAGGTGGCAGGTTGGGATGACCAGCTAAGATGAGGCCCTAAGTTCAAGGCCATGACCTGATACCAGGGGTTGGCTCCCTCTGACTGCATGAAGGAGGGGTGCATTTTGCTGCCAAAAGCTATAGGTTTAACCCTGTCAAAGCTGTTGCTGGCAACTTGGCAGTGGCTGTGACAAGGTTCAATCTTTAGCTTTGATTGAATAGAAAGGGGAGGGGAAGTGACACTAACAATGCAGCCAGTCTTCAGTCATGACTCTGGATATATATATTTTCCTTCATTCTGCCTTCCCAAAACAAGGTGTGTGTGTTACTTGGGGACATGTAGTATGAAAGAAAATATGATATTTATTTTCAACAATCCCCTCTTAAAGCAGTGCTGTTATGCTCATGTTCCACATGGGTTACTAAAGTCCAGAAAGGCAAAATAGCTTCCCCAGTGTCACATAGGAAGTCTGTCATAGAGTGTGAACTTAAACCTACATCTTCAAAGTCTGAGCCTAGTGCCCTAACCACTGAACTGTCTTTCATCTCAAAACTAATGTTCTCTTAAGGGCTCATTATCCTAGTAGCAAAACATAGGTGGATATAGTTAGTTCTACTCTGTTATTGTCTTGTCAAAACATTTGTCATCTTTGT